TAACCTCAACACCAGCTTAGAAACCAAGCTTCAAACATTATTCTTAAAAAAATTAACATGAAAATTTCTGGTAGGTGTAACTTGCAGGCTGATGATTCTTGAAAAGATCATTCATTCTTGTTAAATATATTCTGTTAACAGAGGTAGTGGTAGCAGAGAGTGTAGTGGTCATCAAAAAACTTCTACAGCTTAAGGTAATTATGAAATTATATATTAAATTATTTTTATTATGATCATCAAAGTTACACCAGTTCATAATTTGTGTAATTTTATGTTTTAAATGCAATGATTTTTAAAAAAAATTAATTTTAGTGGACCTGCTGTTTATTATTGGTGATACCCCTTTATTTTTATTTTTTTTCACAGCCTAAGGGGAATTCAGAGATCATCATGCATATGGCAAAATTAGTAGATACCATCACGGTTAGTGTACACGTATGCAAGTCACTGTCACTACTTCCAATCTTATACCCCATTCACACCAAAGCCTAAACATGTTTTAAAACTGTTTTGTTAAACATGGTTTAAAATTTTTTATGATGTTGGTGGACTTCAAATGTAGCATCTGAAAATACAAGATAGCAATTACTTGGATCTAAGAGTCAGTTTTTAATTCTCTGTTTCTGATGTTTTGCTGGTGTGAATGGGTTATAAGCTACTACATTTTTCAGCTTTAACAACTTTGTAAAACTCTTAACGAATTTCAAGCTCATGGCAAACAAAGTCAATTTTGGACACAAATCTTTGAATAAGTTCTCAGTTAATCCTGAAGTATGAGCAAGGTTCTTTTCTCTTTGTTTGTAGCTTTGTCTTAGCATTTCATATTTTAAATAGGTTCCAATGGCCAGAGCAAGTATTCTGTGGTTATTAGGAGAATATTGTGAAAGAGTGCCAAAGGTAGCACCAGATGTTTTGAGGAAAATGGCAAAAATATTTGGATCAGAGGTAAGGTATACCTGGTACTGCATGATTTTACATGAGCTTCAGGTAAATAGATTGAGAGTGACCTTAACCCTCACAGTCATTGAAAATATACTATGGTTACAGTAAGTGATTGTATAACAAAGGCTTGTTGAGTAGATGAATAAGAACTGTAGACTGAAAGTCCTTTTTTAACTGGGACTGCAGACCTGTGCCACTAAGAGAATGTTTTGAACACAACATGATATGAATTCAAATACATTATATAGATTACTTGACTGTATTTTCATCACTGCAGGAAGACATTGTCAAGTTACAAATTTTGAATTTAGCTGCAAAGCTCTTCATAACAAACCCTAAACAGGTATGTACACATGTAGTACATTTACTTACTATGTGTTTATTTATTCAGATGCTTATTCCATGTATCTCAGAGTTTGACTTGTAGTCTTTTGGGAGAGGTTGATAGGGGTCATTATGTTTTGCTCTTGAGAAAGACTTTGGATCAATGATGTGTATAAAGAAACATTAAAAATGGTATACTGTCAATAGCCTATTAGAAAGTCTTAGATCCAGCAACTCTGGAGAAAGAAAAATTCTTTACTTCATATTTTGAATAAAATTTATATGATGATTACCCCTAACCCAGGAACATAACTTTCTTTAACATTTGTTTTTAATCCATTTCAGACAAAACTTCTTGGTCAGTATGTACTGAACCTTGCAAAATATGACCAGAGTTATGATGTCAGAGACCGAGCTAGGTTTCTACGGCAACTGCTTATTCCAAGTGATACGGTGAGCCTGTGATCTCCAAATCCTGAGATTCTCTTTTCCTTCAACTGTTATTTAGAAAAGTTTGTCTGAGACCTTATGTTTGAATGTTACAAATTTATTTCACATTCATATTTGCTAGTCAGCTCATTCTATCATCTAAATTATTATAAATGAATGGAAGTGTGTGTACAAGATGTTATTAACAAAATTTAGAGGGGAATTGGTCAATGCATTTGTAGCAAGGAAGTGCAAGTGTGAATTAATACCAGTGACAAAAATGCATATGAACACAGATGTTAAAAATTATGTTTTTCCAGTCTATTTATCTACAGAACTCTTAAAAAACCAGCTGTTAATCAATTTTGCTTTCCACACTTTGTAGGGAGGTCATCTAAGTAAACATGTGAAGAAAATTTTCTTGGCTTCAAAACCACCCCCAATTATACAATCAGTGTTTAAAGGTGAGGTTTATTATTAATCATGTCAAAGTAACACAGTATATACAGCTGTAAGGTATTGGGCAAATTAAAGGGAAAATTTGTATGGTTGAAACATGTTGATTTCCTAGATTTGTTATACCCCTTATATTCCATTTTGCCATATTAGGGCGATGGAACATGCAAAATATGCCACAGTTTTACAGTGTAGAACAGAGCAAAAATATGGAAAGTCTTTGAAGTTATCTATGCTTCAAACTCATTTGTGTTTGCTTAACTTTTCAACTTGCATTCTTTTCAGATCGCCAAGGGTTTCAGGTTGGCTCTTTGTCTCATATGATGAACCTTAAAGCTAATGGTTATCAGGAATTACCTCAGTTTCCAGAGGTTGCTCCAGATCCTTCTGTCAGAAATGTAGAAGTGAGTATTAGATGCAGTTAGCTTGATGTTGCACCAACACTCCCCCACACTACTTCCCCATACTGTACCTCTATGTCTGCTACTCATTTTCTGGAGGGCTAACTGACTATGAAAATATTGTTACTGCTTTGAAGATTGAGCCAGTATGGGGAACAAGCTCTAGGAAGAAAACTGGTAAAGCAAAGAAAACTTCTTTTTACTCGGAGTCAGAGACAGAATCAGGCTCAGAATCAGGTATGAAAGGTGTTGTATTCTATTTTGTATTACTATTTGTGAAAAAGATGTCAGTTTTAGTTTGAATAGCTCCCAGAATAACAAGACTGGTGGATACAACTTATTATCCAAATTCCGAGACAGTTACAACTTTTTGATACTTGAATTCAGCTTTTTATTGACAATAACTGACAGGTCCATGCCTCAACCTGCATTTATCAAGACATAAATCACTTACTAGAAAATTTGGAGAAATAGAAAGATATGCAAGAGTTTTTTAGAGGTGTAAGTAAGAGAAACTACCTCAAGTGCTACATATGTGAATAAACACAAATTTGACATGAGCAAATTATTTCAAGGCATGGTTTGAATGTTGTGTAAAGAGCAGTTATTTATGCTATGCTCTGTCAGAGCAAAAGGATGAAAAGCTCTGACGAAGGGCTAATGCTCGAAACATTGGCTTTGAAACTCTTTACGGTGGCCAATTTACATTATCAACTCAGTTGATGAAACCAAGTTTATCTTGCTATAACTCCCCCAATAATGCAGCTCAACAGTTTCTTTAGAAACTTACCCTCTCGAACAATGAAGCTAGTTCACTTTTTTTTCTAATATGTTTTAATTTGATGTTTCTGTTAATTTTTGTGGTGGGCGTCTTCTAGAAACTGATTGATTGAAAAGCTTTGCACTAAGACTTTACTCTAATGTATATCACTCTAACCAATTTCTTTTCCTTTTTTTTTTTCCCATGTTTGTGCTTGATTTAAAAGCAATTGTATTTTGTTCAAGAGATTTACCTTCATGGATAAAGATTTTTTGGGTACATGTACAGCCATAGAAGATAGAAATGGGGATTTCTCAAAGTCACTTCTTGGATTAAGGTTAATTTTTTTACTGTTAAATATCAGAGAGTGACAGTGAGGAAGAGAGTGGAAGCAGCAGTGGTTCAGAAGAGGATGAAGATGAGGATCAGAGCAAGACAGAATCAGAGGCATCTACTAAGGGTACTGGTTACAATATTCCTCAAATGAGATCATGTGCATAAGTAATGGTTATTCACAGAGATTCAGGTCTGATAGCACATAACTCATGTGGTCCACAGAGAGACTTATCAAGGCCTATGTCCTATGGGATATTTGGGAAAAAATTATAAGGACATATGGTACTTAAGGAAAAATTAAATGGTATAAGAGATATTTACATTAGAGATTCTGGGATATCAAACTGAAATTATAGGGAAACTATCCACAGGAATAAATGGATACAGGATATTTAGGCCAAAAATTGATAGAATATGGGATACTCAGACCCCCCTCCCTCCCCTCAATAGGGCCTCTCTCCTGCAGATACCACAAATCAAACATCAAATAACTTGCAACATGGACCTAAAAACTCTGAAAAAAAGACTCTGAAAGCATTTAATTTTTGCATGCTTCTTCTTATCAGGTGATAGTGAGGAGGAGAGTGATGCAAGTGAAAGTGAGGAGAAGTCATCTTCAGAGTCAGAGACAGATGAAAGCAGTGAAAACAGCTCAGATATTTCATCTGAAGATGAGAAGGTTACCTTCAATCATATGTTACACTGTTGTTTTTTTTTATGGTTAAAAACCATACTTGTAACTCTCAAAGCAGTTAAGCCCTGGTCAGACAGTCTAGCTCTAGTCTGACAAAGGTCATGGTGTTTTAATTTGTATTTTAGTTTTTTGAGATGAATTTCAAAAAATGAACTGTCAAATGAAACTATGATACAAACCACACTAAAGACTTGGGGAATGGGGAAGTAAACCACATGCTGGAAAAAACATTGAATATGGTTGGAGTTTTGTCGGAGTGGAAAAAGTCATTACCATTTCTTATAGAGAACATGAGGGTAAATTTTAGCTATGTGTTAGGCTCATGTCAGCAGATCCTTTGTACTTGCATATATAGAAAGATTTAAAATGCTTAAGCAAGCTTTTTTAGTTGAAGAGGGATTTTGCATCCCATTCTATTTTAGATTCCAGTAAAGAAACCTAAGACACCAGTTAAGATTACCAAGCAAGAAAAATCACCCCAAGGAAAACCAGCTTCAGACAAGGGCAACGCATTATTGATTCTCGATGACTGTAAGTACAACCCACAGACTCTCTAACTAAACAGGACATGGTTGATATAAATCATTTTATATCTGAAGAGTAGATATTTAGAAAATTTTCTGTTTTGTGGGTATATCAGTAGTGTTATCCTTCAATCAAGTAAATGATGGTATGATTTTTGTTGCAGTAAATGAACCAGTGACTTCCAGTGTAGGTTCAAGTTCCAGTAACATAATGTCACCAAGTCTTGCTTCTGAGATCGAATCTTTATCATTTTCAAATGATGCACCTACTGTCGTTGCCCCAGTAAGTGAAGATACTGTGTTAAAGATCATATCTTTGTTTAACATTTATATGATGAGCAAAATCTTTTCACAAGTCCCCATCCAGGCGATATTTTTCATATATTGTATTAAGTTGCAAGTCCGATGTGCAGGAAACAGAACTCAAAGTCTCATTGAAAAGGCATTGTAGACTTAAGCCCTGAAACTTTATTTCCCTCTTTCAGATTTTTTAATTGCACACTTTACGAAGCAGTGTGGTTCTTAAATTTCTTAGAGTCACAAAATAATTTTATTTTTTCTTTTAACAGCTTAGTCCAAGTTTTTCATCTGCAAAATCACACGAGCTTCTCCATCGCATGCAGGGCAAAGGACTCAGTGGCAGTTACAAATTTACAAGAGGTCCTTGCATTTACTCCACATCCATGGTAGCTGTGGAAGTAACACTGGTCAACAACTCTGAAGCTCCCATTTCTAATATTTCTGTGGAAGAAAAGGCAAGTTTTTAATCATTTGTCCTCCCACTTGTTTAGTTTTTTTTCAAGGTCTATTTAAAGGGTCACATGTCTATTAAAACCTTTATTTTGAACAGAGCAATTGAAGACAAGAGATATCAGAAAGCTGGGACTTTGCCAGTGAACAAAAATTTCTTCAAGTGCTTGTGATGGTTTAATTATGTTGGTCATGCAGGGATAAATTAATAACTTTGTTTGAATTTTATACCTAATCTAAGTTTGTTTGTCTTTTTGTGGCACAGAAACTAGGAGCAGGAATGAAAATGCATGACTTTCAACCAATCAGTAAGTTGCAGGCCCAAGCTTACTGTATTACCACAGGCATCCCAAGCTCATGTCTCAAGAAAAAGCAAAAGATTAATTCATGACAGTGTCAGGCGTTGTGTAACCTGATGTTAAGTTATGCAAGGACCTGTTGAGAATTTGAACATCTTATAAGAAATAGTATGGGGAAAGAAAATATGGTTGATTTACAACACTAAATATTCTGAAATATAAAAGTTTTACATGGAAGATTAATAGAACTTACTCACTCCTTGTGTGTCCATGTAACTTAACACCCCATCTCACTGTGCAAGGAGCTTTCATGAATTGATTGTTTGCTTTTTCTTAAGATGTTAGCTTAGGACACCTTTGGTATTACATGTACTAGTGCTGAAGAGTTCAGCAGGGATTCTTCTCCCCATGTACAAAATATAATCAACATCTGTCCCATTGAACTACCTAACAGATGGGTTCTTGAGAGATTGTATTTACATTTTAGTTAATTTGATAAAAAAAAAACACCTTGGTAAACAAAATAATCAAGTGAGATTGTTTGTATGTACCTCTGGTTGTTTAACTTCATCCAGCTCTTATATTTGACATTAAATGGATTGGTTATCAACTGGTCTTCATTGCTAAACTTATTTCATGAACTTATCTTTTATTTATTTCTCACATAGCATCACTTGCACCAGGTGCAACCATTGCAGTGACTGTGGGAATTGATTTTAATGATACAACTCAGCCTGCCAGTTTTAATTTGTGGTGGGTTAAGTTTCTCTATTTTTGTATAGTGAAGTTTTAAATGAGTTTCATTTCACACTTCATCTGTGGTACAGGGCATTTTACTAGAACCTGTAGTATCTGACACTAATGCAGAATTCTTAGATCTGCAGATGTAACTTAATAGTGGGGCTGCCATTTGAACTGACCTCTGTAGGCTGCCATTATACAACAACAATGTGTTTTGTCACTGTCACACATTTAAACTGGTGTTCATAAAATGACTACTTGTTGAAAAGTGTTTAATTCTGTGAAACTCTGCTTTCAAAATAGTCTTGAAAGTAGAGCAATAAGTATTGGAACCAAATTTAGCTTTGTACAGTTTGTATAAGCTATTTTATTTTCCTGGATACATGTGCATATTTGGAAATGTCTTTATTGAGTCATTGTGTAACTGAAAAAGACAATCAATCTAAGTGTCCCAGGACTGGGAGATTTACCTTTAAAAGTGACATGATTTTTGGGGTTGTCTTTTAGTACTCAATCCAGTAAGTTTCCAGTTAGCATCAAGGCACCTGTTGGTGAACTATTACAAGGCTGCCCCATGACTGAAGCTGACTTCTTGACCAAACAAGGTGGGTGTATTCTTTATTTAGTCAAACTGGTTGCTTTTGCCTCCACACTCTTTCACCCTTTCATAGTCAAATTTGGTCAATTTGTTAGTGTTGCTTTTTGTATTTTTTATACAGAAATCCAACTATCACCCACCCTTACTTTCCTTTTTAGAGGGTATTCAAGAAGATAATGATTGCTTTCACAACATATTATATGTGATATTCATTGCTAAACACCTGTACAGCCATATAAAGTGATGTGGAAGATTGATTCAAGTGTAATTCGCAAACGTGCTTCCTTGCAAATTTGCAAGAAAAATCAAGGCATTTTGAGGAACAATTCCTCCTACTTCTTCAGAGTGCTATTTTGTCAAGTTTTTATGAAATGCTTTCAATTAAAAGTGATGTTTTGCTGTCCAGTACTTCGTGTTTTTTTGTTTGTGGAAAGACACAACAACATATTGTTCCAGTCAATAAATCATCTATGGTATGACTCTGAGAACAGTTTTTAGTGTATGTATGGTTCAATTTATTCTTGGTTTTAATTACGTTTTCCTTTGTTCTTTGATGTGGAAATGGCAATGAAAAAAAATTTATTTTTGATCCAAAGTTAAAACTAAACCACAACCCTTACATTACTGGTAATGATAATAACAGCAGGATTTTACCTGTACAAATTCCTCTCAGGTAAACTTCGAGGCTTAAATGAGAGTTCTGGAACAGTAGATATACCTGGCAACCTTAATTCTGAAGAAGTGGTATGTTCAAAGGTGAAGGAGGCTGCTGCCATCACCTACATTGGAGCCACGCCCCTTTCTGAGGGGGCATCAACATACCGATTTGCTGCTCGCACCATCTCTGGAGGAACACATATTCTTGTGACAGTTAAAGTACCTGTTGATGGAAAAAGCAGCTCCATAACAGTGAATTGCGAAAAGATGGCAATTAGCTCTATGCTTGTCAAAGAAATTAAACAAGCCTTGCAGTGATGTCAGAATTTCAGTCATGTGACTGTCGTCAAACATTTATTGTGAAAGAATGGACAATAACTTTTCTCCACATTACTATAGATCATATTTTTCCTCATAGACACAATATCTATCTTTCAAATTATGCATGACAACTATTTGAATAAAAGTCCAAAATACTCTGAGATCACATGAGAACTACATGTATTTTGAAAATGGAATGCTTTCCGTGGCCACCTAAGAAAATTAAAAGGGTCTTAGAATGTTCTGAAGGTCACAGGAAATTATGTTGTAGTTAGCAGATGAGAACAAAGGTTGAAAACTCAGTTTGACAATAAGCAAAGTTACTGGTAGACATTCATTATGGGTATTATCTGCTGTTTCATAACCATGTGCAGTATTGATTGATGAGTGATTCTCTCAGTTTTGGAGTTATATTAAATTCAGTCACCTCTCCAAAAACCTTCAAGAGTACCATGAATGTTATGTTGCATATGGTTGGCCAATTATCATAGAAATCAGCCCTTATATGCTGTTAATGTGGCATGGATTACTTCTCCTTCCTGGCAATGAGATAACCAATAACAACAGTGTTTTACAGTTTTGTCTCTGTACCATTTGATATCATTGTAACAATACATAATTGCCTCCCAAATTTTGTTCATCCAAGCCACCAGAACTCATCAACTTTCTAATTAGGGGTGATATCATTCCCCACATCTAAATCTATATTATACACTTTCAAGAAACTGGTTTTAAAATCAATAAGATCTATCTTGGATTGAAAGTAACAAAATGTTCTGTTATGGATTGACAATATCAATCAATTAACCCCTTTGCTGCCAATCGTAATGAGAAGTCTTGTGCCAACACAAATTGACTCTTTTTTTCAGAATTGGACACTAAATCTGTTTTGCCAGATGTGGAACTGGGCATTAGTTCTTACCAGTCTTCTAAACTGTTTTTAGTCTTAGATGCCAGGTTATTTTACATCTTCAGTGCTGGGGATTTGACTGTTACTCTCTAACTTTCGACATACTGAGTATGTCATGTAGCCACACAAACTTCAAATTTAGTTACATACTCAGTATGTCATGCAGGCAGTGAAGGGATTAATGGTTTTGGATGAATGCAAAGCACCATCATTTTCTGTTAGTTTCTCAGGGTAGAGACTTTATTTGTTGCGAGAAATGTTGTTGTCTTCAACTCATTTCACTTCCTACAGAAACAACAGTCATTTCAGCAGTTAAATGAGTAATTAGCCAGAAATTCCTTCTTGAGTAGAAAGAGTTTTGTCTAACAAGCACAGCAATACAGTAACTTAATAAATAATCAAAACAACGTGAAAAGAGTCATTGGTAAGTGAACAGCGATTATTGGAGAATAAGCAACTGATTTGCAAAAGTTCAGCAATTTTAAGTTCTTCCTCTCACTGAACATGAAAAGTTTTGGGTCTTCAAGAGACTTAAGCTTGATACATCCAATTTGAAAGGAGGTTCAAATAAAAAATTTAATGTCTCACAACTAGTGAGGAATTTAGAAAAGAGTTTGATGTACAAAACAATCATAGCTTAAAGTAAAAATGAAAACAAAAACATTCCATAGTAAACCCAGACAAAATATAGTTATCATTCACTGATTTCTGTGATAATATGCTTGTACTATTTTGTATTGCTTGGTAAGTATTAATCTTTTCTCATTTTTCATGTGTTAATCACTGATGTGAGAGTCGTTGGAATGTTCCGGGTCCTCACTGAAACACCAATTTTTTGTTAGCATAGCAAATTAAGGAATAGGGCCAATTTTTACAGAGAGGTATGCATCAAAGTTTCTTTAAGAATAGAGATTTTGCTCTCATGTTTAAGGGAAGTTTCCTTGAAATAATATACTACACTCTTCTTTAATTTACTGTTGTAACACCAAGTAGTGCAGGATGTTGCCAAACCTAAGAGAATCATTGGGGCATGATTTAACACCTTTTAATTTTTAATGCCAACATCATGTCTGAGTCAATAAGATGCTAAATTACAATTTGATGTAAAAACAGTTGAAAAGAAGAGCCACCTTGTGGAAAAGTCCCCTGTTAAATTCCCATTATGTTCATTGTCATTTATAGTTTCTCTAAGGGAATAGCTATGGGTTCATCACTATAACAAAAAATTGGTTTTTAAATGTGAAAGCTTTAGGATTAACTTTGGTAATTGAGTATACAATCTTGGTCCTCTATTGGAATTGAAATCATGACTTGAAACTAATGGCTAGATGTCTGATGCTCTTAAAGTGAAAAGAATAATAAGAATTTTTTCCAGCAGTAGGTGCTAGCAGACATTTATGACATAAGGGAATATGTCTCTTACTAGCTATTAATTATTTGAGCAATAGAGCACACTTCCCATCAGCTCACTGGTATATTAAGTCGTGTGGGATGTTGGGAAAACACTCAAAAAGTTTGCATATCACTTACCTCTTGCTCAAGAGTTAAAAACTTATTTAGTGTTCTCTCAACATCCCAAGTTGGTTATTATGCCACTAAACTGATAGAAAGTTCGGTTCAATCCTTTTGTACAATTAACTTCAATTTTCTACCAGTGAAATCATCAAAAGGTTTTTGACCCATCAGGGCACTTATAGTATCTTAGTTATTTTACAAAAAAATAGTTTTCCAATTGGACCCTTATTAAACAAAATGTGACAATGCAAGAATAATCTACTTTGTGGAATTTATAAAGATAAATCATATGTACTTAATGAGCACAATCTTTTAATAAAGTAGTTGTACTTCTAACAAAAATATTCACAATCAATCAGAAGTTACAAAATGCTTCCCTTTCTGACTGATATGGTAGTACAGTGTTCATCTTGAAATATATAAAGTTCAGACTCAACCAAACTTCTTGGCCACCACTGATAACATGTTTCTCACAGGGGAGGGCATGGAGAGGACACACTTACTTGTCCAATATGGGGATGTGTAATTGGGTTGGTATAATTTTTAAGGTTAGGTTTTGATACCTTTCAATAAGCCATAATTATGAAATACCTCCTTCAAAGAGTCAACTCTACTCAAGGCAGAAGTCCACTGGCCCCAATAGACCCTCTATCTCATTATTAGACAGTGAACACTTGTCAAACAAGAACTACCATTCTTAAGACATTATTAATAGCCTTGCGCAAATCATCTTCCAGCAATTTCAATTTTGCATGAAACACTTTTTGAAGGCTTGAAATACTTTCATGAACATTGTTAAATCCCTTTCTATATTCATCTCTCATTTGAGTCAAGGACAGTTGGAGATTCCTTTCCTGTTCTGACCTCACTTCTTTCAGTCTCACCTCCCAGATATTGTAATATTTGCTCTTTTCATCTTCCAGAAGTCGATCTACTTTTGCCAGGTAATGGTCAACCCTTCTCTCTAGTTTTTCCTGACGTTCAACCATAAGACCTTCAAACCTTTCCAACCTGGTTTGAAAATCTTGCGTCAGTTTAAAATATTCCGATTCGGCCCACAAGCGATTTGAAGAAATACTACCTCGGATATCCTCAACGACTGTTTTTGTCTTAGAGTCAAGATGTACAACGCGTTGATCGGACTCCCCTTTCAACTTTTCGAGATTGTTTGACTGGTCCATGATATATTTTTCCATTTTAAGCGTCAAGTTGTTAATCCCCTTCTCTAAAGAGCTTATTTGTTCCCGACAATCTTTGACTGCCTGTTCTTGCTTTAGCTTGAAGTCGCTTATAACCTCGTTGTTACTTCTCATATCCGATACCAGCCTCTGAATTGCCGCATCACATCTAGCAACACGCCCTCTCAAATCCGTGACACCGGCGACATGGTGAAGCTCTAAGTTTTTTACAGCAGTACTTTGCCCTTCCACTAGACTTTGCTTCGACCTGATCTCGCCTTCCAAAGTTTCAATTTCCTTACTCAGTCTTTTCACTACAGTAGTTATTGTTCGTATATGCTCTTGCAGCAAGCTCCTGGCTCTTTTCTCGCCTTGCCAGCTCATCTGAGCGATACTCAAGCTTTCAATAATATCTTCTTTCACCGAAAGCGCTCTGTCTACGAGGGATCTTGTAGTCCTTTCCTGAACAGCCAAACGATCCTCTAAATTTTCCATACGACTAAACCTTTCGTCTGTGTTGCTGTTATTGGCAATAGCTGGAAGGGACAATCCCTCTTTGGAGTGGGGTCTCTCCATGCTTTTAATATTAAGAAACTTCCAGAAGGGATATAAATTTCGTACTACGCCATGTTAGAGATGCACATTAGACATTCCACCACGCGAAAATAACGATTGTTATGGATATTTTATTTACCTGGCAAGTTGGTTCCTAAGGGGCTTGGGTTCTAGCATGTTCCATCCTATAATATATTGTTGTTTTCGAAATTCCCTCCATTTTCTTAGTAGCCCAGAATGCTGGTTAAAGCATAATCATCAGGTGCCTCCCCCAAGTTTCTGGTTCTGTATTTTCATTTTGATAAATTCTTTTTAATGAAGGATGGCAACACCAGAAATTGGCGTGGAACACGAAGATGGGAAGTGGAATGACTCGACTGGGGCCTACACTGGCGATGGTAAGAAATTAACCCAAATGAATTTGCGATCGGTGATCTTCGAGCCCGAGTTTTTCTATTTTCATTTTTTGTGCTGAATCGTTTTGCAGAGGTCAGCCCTGAGAGAGCTTCAGGCTCGGAAATGGACGAACAACGCAAGCAACAGATGGCCTATCAATACCTGTGTCACCTGGAAGAGGCAAAATTGTATGTACTAAATTTCTGAATTAAAATTTATACTCCTGATACTACTCCCTCGCCCAACTGTAACAGCGTCAACACTGTATCAAAATATAATTTGAATTGGAACTCCTTCTTTTGCTCCACCGCCTATTTTTGATATTAATCACAGTTCTTGCTATCATTTTTAGATGGATGGAGGCTTGCCTGAAGGAGGAATTGCCACCTACGACTGAACTAGAGGAGGCTTTCAGGAATGGTGTGTTTCTAGCAAAACTGGGAAATTTCTTCTCCCCCGAGACGGTACCCCTGCGCAAAATATTTGATAAAGAATTCAAAGTAGTGAATGTGAGTGCTGTTTCTTGCATATACTGTATTATTTTTTCCCCGTTTTGTTGGTGTTTCGTTTTCATTTGTAGCCATGTGCGGCTAGCCTCACAATCGGAGTCGTAACTTTGCAAGAGCTCGTAGCTAATTAACCTAGACCAACAGTTATTGTTTTACAGACTCGGGGACTTCATTTTCGTCACACGGATAATATTAATTACTTCATGAACAGCTGCGGTAAAGTTGGTCTACCGAAGGTTAGTAACTCCTCTCTAAGGAAAATTCTGTATGTTTTTCTTTACAGTTAGCACGAAGGCATTTATGTACACTTCGATGTACAAAGTGTTTATTCTGGAATATTTCGCGCGTGTCAGTTATCTGTATGTACAGTATTAAAATTGTCTCAAATTCAATAAGCTCTACAGAGTCTTCAGTCTGTTTGTATCTAAAATTTACTGTTATTGCTTTGTTAATATGTTATTATTTTATCTAGCCAGCACATCTGTGCATTAACGTTTTCTAAGAATTTGCTATTAATAGAATCTGTCTGTTATCCAAGGTCTTCTTCCCTGAAACAACGGATATTTATGACAGAAAGAATATGCCAAAGCTAATATATTGTATCCATGCACTGAGGTGAGAAAGTCATTGAGACTTGAAATGTTTCTTTTCTTTTAGCAATCACTAAAGAACTCGTCCAGGAATAAGAAAATAATAATTTGATTTGCATCTCTGCTGATTGCATGTCGATTCGTGTTTCTTTGTTTTCTTCAAGTGGGAATTTTTTATGGATGAGTCATTATCATTAATTTTAGAAATTGTCTCAAGAATACTTGGTTGGCCTAATTTTTGTTTTAAAGATGCCAAAGTCTATTCTTAATTGTAAACAATTTACGTGATCTGTCAAGTGTAAACCATTGACCGAGCTCATGTGATAGAATGACCCTACACTGTCAGCTGAGGGTAAGGAACCAAAAATCTGTTTGGATGTAACAATTGACCATTTATTTAGAACTTGCTTTAGTATTTGCTGGAAAAAAAATTTTGCAATACACTTTTGTTTTGGTCAACTTCATGTTAATAAGTTAGTGATTACAAATAAATAAAAAATGTTGATTTGGCTTCTGCAAATTTTAAAAGTTGTAACCTGTAATGTATAATTTAATACACTTCCTGCCATGTAAGTGTTTGTAAGTGTTCACAAATTCCATGAGAATACTTGTTCATATTTGAAACGATGGGAAAATCAACAAAGTATATATACAGAATTTATTC